AAAATAAATAAATAAATAAAAATAATTAATTGAAGTATGACATGGCCTTTTTGCATTAAAACTTGGATTTGGTATTGTAGTCCGTCCCCGTTACACCCAAACCATTCTGCACCAAATCCACTCCATCAACTCCACACCACGCCATCACCACTAATAACAACAATCCTACCTAGCCAGCCTTATTATACTTACTCCCTATATAAAATCATCACATACCATCACATTTGTTAACAGACAATCATCACTAGCTACTCCCTTCTTCAAACGTTCACAAATCACAAAACACAAACAACAATCATGGCCTCCCACCACAAACTCAAGGGCCTCCTCTCCTTCCTTTCCCTCTTCCTTTTCCTTTTCCTCCTCCTCTCCCCCGCCTCCTCCACCCGCATCCTCGTCGACAAAGAGGATACTGCCGCCGCCGCCCCCTCCACTACCGCCCCCGAAAGCGGCTCCTCCATCGACAAGGAGGATGTCGCCGCCCCCTCTGCCACTGTCCCCGGAGGCGGTTCCTCCATCGACGACGGGGAGGATGCCCCCACCCCCACCGCTGCCTCAGCCGGAGGCGGCGACTCCTCCGTCGACAAGGAGGATGCCGCCGCCACCGGAGGCGGTTCCTCCATCGATGGAAAGGATGCTGCCACTGGCCCCACCTCCGCCGCCGCAGGCTCCTCTTCCATCCCTGAGGGCGGCGACGGGGCCCACCATCCCCTGACGTTCTTCATGCACGACGTGCTCGGTGGCTCGCGCCCCTCCGCGGTGGCCGTGACGGGCATTGTAGCCAACCCGACGGTTGGGGGCCAGGTCCCATTCGCCAAGCCCAATGGCGCTGTCCTCCCTGGCCGAGGCGTGGGCCCCACCAACAACAACCCCAACAACAACAACATCAACAACAACAACAACGGCATCGTCAACAACAACAACATCCCCTTCCTCACGGGCCTCAGCGGCTTCACCTCCTCCAACGTCATGCAGAACAACAACAATAATAACGGCATAATCGGAGGTGTCCCCGGGTTTCCGTCCCTCAACGGCGCTCAATTCCAGACTGGGACCACCCTCCAAAAGCTCATGTTCGGGACCATGACCGTGTTCGACGACGAGCTAACTGAGGGCCGAGACCTCGAGTCAGGGCTCGTCGGCAAGGCACAAGGGTTCTACGTGGCCAGCTCGGAAGACGGGAGTAGCCAGACCATAGCATTCACCGTCATGTTTGCAAGCGGGAGCTACGCCGACAGCCTTAGCCTCTTTGGGGTCCACCGAACGGCCGTGGCCGAGTCGCACCTCGCAATCATGGGAGGCACCGGAAAGTTCGTCAACGCCAAGGGATTCGCGACCGTCAAGACGTTTCAGGGCAACGGCCAGCACGACACGGACGGGGTCGAGACCCTG